GTTACTCATCAATGGATGTCTTTGATGGAAATTCCTCAGAGATGAGCAGACTAGCAGCTTACGGAACCAGCCCTTTGGTAGAATGAAGAAAAGCTGTTTCTTAAAGTGCACACTTGAGAAGCTTGAGAAGTGGGCTGGGAATATGGTAGCTTTTTGACAAAGCTTTAAGTTTTGGAGCCAATGGTGTGGCTATCTTTCCTTCTAGTCCCTCTTTTTTCTTTCTCTCTTGCTTTCCTTCTTTCTCTTTCCCCTAGACTCTTTCCATGAGTGATGGGGTTCTAAAGTGCCAGTTCCAAGGTGGAATCAGTGTTAAAATGGGGCCAGGGCAAGGTCAATAACTTGGGAGAGGATGGAACAGTATGTAAACTATGAAGTGACAAGCCTTGCTGATAACAGGCCACAGCCATGACAGCAGCCCTCTCACTCATCGATGGAAAGTTCGCCATGTGTTATCCCCTTTGAAAATGGACTCCTGTGAAGTAGGTGTAACTATCCCCATTTTACAGGTGAAAACCCAAGGCTTAGAGAGATGACCTAGCTTGATCAGAGTCACATGGGGCAGGGGTGGGGTTTGTTTCCTAGTCAGTCCACCTCCAAAGGCTAAGTCCTAGGCTGAAAGCAAGAGACTTGGAATCAAAGCTGGAGTGACTGAGAACTTGCAACTAAAGACAAATCCTTGCATCTTCCAAAGATACAGAGCAATGAGAGCTGAACTCCCCAAGCCTGCACAAATGAATCCCGAGGCCTGTCCTCTGTGGTGTGGGCCCCTTTTGGGGGCAGCGCAGCAGGAGGGAAGCTCTATGGGCTCTGGAATGGCTAAGTGCCTCTGCTGGGCCCTGGCTCTGTGGCTTTGGACAAGTTGCTTCTACCCTGTGAGCCTTAGTTTTTGCATTTTGCAGAGATGGAGTGACAACTGAGAGAGAGAGAGTGTGCAGTTAGCAGGCAAAGAGCAGAGGCCAGGCAGCGCACAGTAGGTGTGAAGCCAATGCAGCCTCAGAGGGCCGCTCTGCGTTTGGGTTTCACCTTGTCCCGTTTAAAAACTTCTTCAGCTGAACCTGCTGCTTGTCTCCTTCACTGGAAGGAAGGCACGTTTTAATCATTTTGATACATGCTATTTAAAGCTCACATATGAGACTTAGGATATGGTCTGGGGTGAGTCCAGCGTTCCTGGAAATGGTTGCGAGGACACCCTGTCACCTCTTCTGTTAGACTGATTAACACGTTCCTGACATATGCTATAATGCCATTCTTCAAGCTGAATTCTCAGGTGATAATTCCCACTTCATAGCAATATCATTTCATTTCAGCATTCAGTGGCACTAATTCTTATTAACCTACTAAAGAAAAGAACTTGACTGTTCCTAGAGAACCGTTTCTGGAAACTACTGGCTTTTATTCCTGCCGGAGTTTAGTTGTCAGAAATAGAGTTCCATTTGCATTTAGTAGACTGGGAAGATCTCTCCAAAGAAATTAAACACGGAGCCCTAATTTGTATTAATGTAATATAATTGGGGTCTTAGTTGGAACATTCTAGGTCATGTTTACATGGAAGCTTGCTTTTGTCATGTTTGCATGTCTGGACAGGAGACCGTTGCCGCTGGTTTCAAAACGGTAACAACATAATTTTTGTGGGCCTCCTTTATGGAGAACCTACCCCTTGGTTTCATTACCACTCCATCTCCTGTTAAAGGGGCTGACAGCTGCTGGGATGCAGACCCCCTGTCTTCCCGGGGAGGAAGGTGAATTCTGATGGCAGGTTGTGAAATTCAGGAAGTCTGGGGAGCTCTCACACTTGACAAAAATAACTTTGCAGCATGGGGCTCTGGGGAAAGCCTCAAAGGACCAAGGCAGCTTCTTTGGAAGTGTGCTTCCAGCAGGGCATCTGTAGCCCGCACCCCTGGGGTCCGGGGACGCCCACCCTCCCTGCCTCTCTGGAAGGCCGGCTCCTCAGATCAGTAAACGGCGGCACTGTTACCGCTTCTGCGGGGCTGCCTCAGTTCCTGTGTTTTCTCTCTGTCTTGTTTTGTGTTTTCCTGAGACTTCTGTATTGAAAAGGCTGAAAAAGCTCCAGAGGGAAATCAACAAGGGAGGGGCTTTGCTACCCTGGTCAGGTGTAGAGCTCCTTCACACTCTAGAACATTTGTTTTTAAATGTTTTTATTTCTTCCTAGGGGAGAGAGAGAGAGAGACAGACAGAGTGAGCAGGGGAGGGTCAGAGAGAGAGAGAGTCACAGACTGAAACAGGCTCCATGCTCTGAGCTGGCGGTCAGCACAGAGCCCGACGCGGGGCCCGAACCCACGAACCGTGAGATCATGACCTAAGCGAAAGTCAGACGCTTAACCGACTAAGCCACCCAGGCGCCCCGAGCTCTTTCACACTCTAAAAAGCTTTCTCTTTCAATTTCTCAGCACTCCATCTGGGCTAGGGCTGGGGTACGTTCTTCCCCGTTCCACTGTCTGCTTCTGTGTGGGGGAAACCCAGAGATCATTCTGCACCAGATCTTTGCCACTGAATTTCTCCCTCATGGTCTGAAGCCACATTATACCACTTTAAGTCTAGATTTGGGTATCTTCTTATTTACACAGCGCTATCACATTCATGGGAGAATTAAAATTAATACTCAAGCATGCTTTCTTAGTTTGTCCAAGATTTTCTTTCCCATGGAAGAGGGTATTTAAACATAATACAGTTTACTAAGACCCATACACCAAGAGCTAACATTTACTGAACATTATGTTAAGCACATGATAGACTATTTTATCCATTTAGTTCTTAATGACTGCTCTCTGAGGTAGAAACCATTATGCCCCCCCACTCGCAAATGAGAAAACAGGTTTAGAGAGCCTAAGTGCGATTGCCAAACACTGAACCCATCAGGTAGAATATAGAGCTACTCTTGCAACAAGTACACCACAACATCCTTCAATAAGTACGGTAATAAAGCTCCACTTTACCTTTTGCTGATTGAAACAGGTTGCCTTCTCGGATTTTCCTTACCAAATTCTCAACATTGTAAAAACAAAACAATGAAAGCAAACAACTTTCTTTTGGTCCACAGTTTAAAGTCCTATATATATGTTAAAAGCACTTAAAAAATTGCCAATTTTGGCTACTTCTTGTTTTTCTCCATCTCATTTGTTTTTGCCACTAACCTCATTATTTTCTTTTATTTTGGGGGAGTTTCTCCATTGGTCCTTTGAGTTGAATATTCAGTTTAAGGTTTTATTTCTTCCTGTTTTATGATAAATGTATTCAAAACTATGTATTTTCCTATAGCTATTTTTAGCAGTGTCCCTCCTATATTGACATTAGATGCTTTTATTGCTTCTCAGTTTAGTTTTTAAGTATGCATAAATAAAACCCAAAGCTGCTTCTTATAGTAGGAAGAGAAACCAACGTATAGTAGGACTACTTAAAAGATGAGAATACTTGAAGTCTGGAATGAAAGAAGAAAAATAGATAGTAAAAAATATAAAGAATATAGTAAATCATTGGATGCTAGTAAATTCGAATGAAATAAAATGGATACATTTCTGTAAACGAATAAAATTGGAAATTGGCTTAAAAAAGGAATTGACTAGCTCTTTAAACTAAAACCTCTAGATTCAACCCATTTCACAGATGAGAACCAAACTTCTATAAGAAATCGGTAGTTTTATTTTAGAAAATAGACAAAGGGAAAATTGTCTAACACATTTCATGAGGCTAGTATTACTGACGCCCAAGACAGATATGCATAGCGCGCGTACACACACACACACACACACACACAAATTATAGGCTAATTTCACTATCGATATAAAAACTGTGGATGAAATATTAGCCAAATCCAACATTGTGTTTTAAAAAATCATAATCATGGTTTAATTCTAGAAATATAAAGATGATTTGACATGAGCAATTTATTAATGCAATTAATATGTTAATGGTGAAAAGTTTATGGTACCTAAAAATCATGTAGAGAGCCAGGACTTACAATCTTTTAGCATATAATCTTTTATAAAATTAGTAACAAATATTATTCTTAATGGATAGGCCTTAAGGCACAAGATAAGGATGGCCATTATCTCTATCACAGCTCAATACAGAACAAAGAACAAAAGTATTCTGGCTCTGGGATAAGAAAAGCTGTAAGAGGAGTCAGGATTGGAGAGGAAAAGACAGAACTGTTGTTTTAAACTGACATGATCATTTACATAAAACATGAAAAAGCATCCACAAATAAACTATAAAGACTAATAAGAATGTTTAGCAAGTTTTTACTGGGTATAAGGATAATTTAGTATTTTTTATGTTAGCAAAAATCATATAGAAAAGTAGAGAAAAAGTAGTATTACCAAAGAACTATGAATATAAATCATCTATACAGAAATTACTCTAACAAAGAATGCATAGAGCCACTGTGGGTAAAATACAAAATCTTATAAAAAAAATATAAAAGAAACTTGAATAAATGGAGTGATAGTACTTGTTTATAGATGGGATGTTGTAAAGATGTCACTAATTTCTAATCTATTGATTATAGTCAATTAAAATACCAGCAAGCTTGACAAGTTAACTCTAAACAGTATCTAGAGAACTAAAGGTCCAGAAATGGCTAAGATAATTTTTAATAAAGGAAAGAAGGGAATTTTTTACCCAATATTAGACATATGACACTATTACATATATATACATACATATATATGTATATATATATTCCTGGTATTTTAATTTTTAATTATATAATTTTAATTATATAATATATATATATTTTGTTGTTTGTTTATTTTTGAGAGAGAGAGAGAGAAATTGTAAGCAGGGGAGGGGCAGAGAGAGAGAGGGAGACAGAGAATCCAAAGCAGACCCCAGGCTCTGAGCTGTCAGCACAGAGCTTGAAGCAGGGCTCGAACCCACTGACGGTGAGATCATGACCTGAGCCGAAGTTGGATGCCCAACTGACTGAGCCACCTGGGTGCCCTGACACTATTAAATTTAAACACTTAAAACATATTAACAAGTTCTCAGTTGTATGTCATAAATTAACAAACCAGTGGAGGAAAGGTCAATCATTCTACAGATATATTGATATATGTTGGGAGAATTGATTCACCCTTTTGGGGAGGGGTTGAACACTATCTCATATCATATGTAAAATGTCGTAATTGAAATCAGTTCTGAATGAGAAGAGTAAAAAGAAAAAAATAGAAGGTCATGTTTGAGAATATCTGTAACTTTTAGATAGGAAAATTTCCTGAACAAGACCAGAAGAGCTTAAAACAAAGAGCAAGGGTGAAGGATTTAATGACATCAAAACACAGATTATATTCAATGAAGAGGAGACCATAGGTAAAATGTTGAAAAATGGCAAGCCAAGAGAAGTTATTTGTGTAAAACAAAGAACATTAACATCTAAATCATGTGATCATAAATCAGTAAGAAATGGCAGGGAACCTAATAGAAAAATGGACAGCATTATTCAGAACATGAGATATCTATGTGCCATGAACTGAGGGAAATAATTCACCCAATAAAACCATATTGAGATATGAACGATATTGCACTATTGTCTACTTAGAGAAATGGAAGTTGAAACAACTAAATGCCACTTTATAGTCATCAGATGAGAAATATTAGCACATCAAATAAGCCATGCCTTGGCAGAGATACAGGGGATTGAAAAATGGGACAAAAATGTCAGTGATAAGTATGCAAAACTTGATGCCTCGGTATGTATATTTACCAAAAATGTCTTTAACATATTCATAAGGATACATATGTGATGATTATTTATCAAGCTGCTTATAGCAGCAGAATGTAAAGCAGTTAGGTGCCCAATGCTAGGAGGCGATTTATACATACCATGGAACACTAAGAGCACTGTTAGGTCTACATAAAAACAGGAATACTTCACTTAAGAGCACTGCTAAGAGGACAAAGAAACAACTTATTTATACTTGATATTTTTTATGTATATTACATGTGTATACTATATATGAACACTATATATATTTCAGGAATACCTATACCTCTAAGTGGATGTGTGGAAGCAGGGTGAATGGACATATATTCAATACTGGTGTCTGTGCCTGTGGTGAAGAGGGGAGTTGGGAGTGTTGATAAGAGAGGTGAGGGGCGCCTGGGTGGCTTAGTCGGTTAAGCGTCCGACTTTCGCTTAGGGCATGATCTCACGGTTCGTGGGTTCGAGCCCCGCGTTGGGCTCTGTGCTGACTGCCAGCTCAGAGCCTGGAGCCTGTTTCAGTCTGTGACTCCCTCTCTCTCTGACCCTCCCCTGCTCACGCTGTCTCTCTCTCTCCTATAAACAAATAAAGATATTTAAAAAAAAAAAAAAGTGAAAAAATAGAGCCTTGCATGAACTCCTGTGAGGAGAGAGTCTGTCATGAGCTGAGAAAGAGTATAAATTGTGTACCTGAAATCAAAATGAAAAAGAAAAGGAAAATATATATTCTGTAAATGAAATGAATTATTTTTACATGTTGGGGCATTACTGATCCTATGTCTTTTATCATTTGGCTTAAAATAACAATCTTCTTCGTGAGTTATTAGTCAGGATTTATTTAATGACTATCTCCCCTATTTTAAGGCAGTCAGATAATGTCCCTATTATTCATTTCTTTATCCCCAGACCCTAAAACAGTATGACTGGTCCATGAGAGATGTTCAGTGAAATGAAACAGGGTTGCTTATCAAAAACAACATGAAGTGAAGCCTACTTAACTGTTTTTAAGCATTTACTATGTGTTAAGTAGCACATATTCTCAATCCTCAAAGCACTCTGAAGTAGGCTTTCTCACTTGTGTTTTATAGATGACGAAACTTGGATCCAGAGAGTTTAAATAACTTTTCCATGTTTATGAGTGATGGCACTAGAGTTTTTAACTCCGATTGTTTTGATTCCAGAGGTCTCTCCATTACAGGACCCGGCCAGATCCTGACAGAAAGTAGCTACATTCTTTTTTGTTTTTCATACATTTTGGTCTCTAAATTTTGCCTCAAATATATTTCTAGGATATAAAAAGTGAAACATGGGAAAAGCACACAAGTAACAAACTTAAGCTGCTCAAGAGGGATATTTTCCCTTTGGATTATTCTTTTACCTATATCGTTATACATGTAACTCAGAATGATTACCCAAAAGGCAGTCCAGGCCTGATGTTGATCTGGATAGATTATGAATTGATCCAGAAGAACTGAAATGTAGACATACTTTATAGTTCTTTATTATATCTACTTAGAATTTACATCTACTTAAACTTATAGCTGTTAAGACTGTTTACATTAGAGCTAACTAGCATTTATCCAATAATAATATATATGGAGAGGTGGATGCAGATTAATTATGTGAATATGTAATACATCTTATTGCTGAAAAATGCCTTTTTAATAAAGAATAACATATCTGTGGCACTGGCTTAGTTTTAATTGAAGTCATTTTTCTCCTTCTTGAGTTGAAGATAAATGTTCTCTAATGAACTTTGTCACCTTGGCCAGACCAAGTTCATTAACAGCATGACACACTATTAGTATCTAGAATTGTGGTTTTAGAGATTGATGCCAGAGAGCCCTCTCCTACTCTCCATTCTGCAGTTCTGACTAATTCTCAGATCTGCTGGCTTAAAGGAATGGCATCCACGGTGCTCACCATAGTAGATGCTGACTTCCTTCCAGGGAATGTCATGTCTTCCCTGGGCTATACCCACTGTCTCACAACTATTACCTATCTCGAAGTCAGAAGAACAGATGCCATTTGCCCCTCGGGGATTTAGCCTACTTTTTTCTGGCCTGCATAGCTAAATTGTACCAAGTCTGGGCCGAAATGAAGCCAGGAGTTAAACCAAGCTTTATAATTTGGAGGAAACAAATTAACATGCCTGATTATAATTACAACCTGTGTCACAGATTGTACGCCATTGCCAGATCCTTGTCTGTTTCCAGAGCCTTAATAGAGTCTATGGCCCGGCACAGGTGGTAATGTGCCTTGGGCTCTGCCTTACAGCTGTTTGATTTCCCTGTGATCTTGAAACTGCCTTCCCAGGAGTATCATCTAGGCAGGGAGATGGATGCCTTTAGGAAACAAATGTTCTCAGGCTTGCTTCTCTAGATTCAGTCACCTTTTGTGCTACACACCACATTTTCTTGTGTTCATGTCAGAAACTGTTTTGAAAGTGATGATAGCTTTGGATTCAGAGAAATGCAGGCAGATGGATGCCAGGAATGGAGAGCCTGTCTTCTACCTGGAATAAATAAGTGTCCCCGTTTTGTGGTTTCAAGAGGACCCCATAAAACACCTGTCTTTGCACTCAAGTGGTGCTGGGAATTCTCTTAAAGTTGCTCCGTATCTAAAACTTTTCCTTCTGTTGAAAGATAAATCTAGACATGACGGCTTATTGGTCGTGTTGACACACACCTGTTTCCAGACCCTTTCATTCTTGTGCTTGGCCTTACTTTCTTCCTCACCATCCCTGTGAGCAACTCTCAAATGCCTGTCAGAAGTAACTATATATCTTGGCTACAAGTTTTCTCAGGTCTTCCCAGCCAGACAGGAGTTCCATTAAGAGGTGATATTGTGCTCCACAGGATAAAAAAAAAAAAAAGTTCTACTTTCTCCGAAGTGTCCTTCTACGCTGGCTTCTAGGGCTTTCCTGGTGGGATTCCTCATCGGTGACCTGAAGAAGTGGCTGGTTTGATGTTGGCCCTTTATTGCTGGGGCTCTTAATTTCTGGTCTTAATTCCCTTCTTCCTATAGGTGTTTCTCCCCCCTCGCAGAGAAACGACTGGCACTAGAATTGTTGTTTCAGTAGGTTTGCTTTAGGAGAATTCCAAATATGATAGGCAGTGAGAGAACACAAGAGAATCTTGAATCCCAAACAAGAGGGGGACTACCATTAGAAACAAGAAAATTACAAAACCAAGAACATATCTTTAGGGGCAAAAATCTGTGAAAGGCATTTTCCAATATAATTCTCCATTTGACTTGACAAGAGATCTGTGTGGTATGATTCTTATCCTTGTTTTACAAATGGGGAAACTAACACTCAATAAAATGAACTTGCTCAATGCACGTAGCCTGTAAGGGATGTAGAACTTTGGTTCCAAGTCTAGTATTTCTACAGCACCATGCCAGATAGGTTGTGTTCTAGGGTCTCAGGAGGAATGTACATTCTAGGTGTGACAGAGTATGGTGGTTTTCAGGTAGTTGTGTCTGAGCACATTCCTCAGTCATATGGGCCTCCGAAGCCAGCCAGGCTGGGTTTCAGTCTTCCTCTCCACCCCCACCCCCAAAATTAACGCTCCAATAATAAACCACTTCTCTTTCTTGGCAACAGTGTGCTTTCTCAATATCTTAGTCCAGAGATCGTCTTTGCCAGGAATTCTACCTTGCCACCTTTCAACCTGGAGAGTTTCTTCTTTACCTCAAAGTCTCAGTTAAATACTACCTTCTTGGACACCTTCCCTGATTCAATATTCTACTTAAGTGCTTTATTTTTGGCTTGGGTATTATCGTTCCTGTCAGACCTGAAGGACTCCTGACAACCAGGCACATTTGGTGACATGGTGGGACTGGTGGACCTTTGAAGTTCTATTTCACATGTTCGTTTGTCCTGAGGGACATGGTCTGTGAGAAGGCCATTGCTTAGATGTCTTAAAGTGTAGGGTGTGAAGACCTATGGAGAAAACGGCTGCCTATTCCTCTAGTACTTTCATGGACAAGGTCTGAGATCTTCAGGGATGGTAACATCTGAAAAAGACAGTTCTGAGAACTGGTCAGTGGTGACTTGGGGAGCAATGCAGTTTGAGAAGAAAGGAGGCAGCACTGGTGAGGAGTTGCTGAAGACTCCCAGAAATAACAGCGTAAGACCAGAGAGGGTTAGGCTGGAGGGACTGAAATTTGGAGTATTTCTGTTACCTGAGCCTATTGGTTCCTACAGACTGGAGAGCTTAAAGAGAGCAGAGTTTTTTAGCTCTTGGAGCAAAGGGAACTGGTCTGTGTGTGTGACAATAAAATTTTATTGTCGTGTATACTACTGTTTAAATTTCATATGATTTTCATATATTAGGAAATATTTTCCTGATTTTTTAAAATTAAGACTTTTTAAGAGCAGTTTTAGTTTCACAACAAAATTGAGGGAAAGGTGGAGAGTTTTCATACAACTCCTACTCCCACACGTGCACAACTATCCCCATTATCAATATATCCCCCACCAGAGTGGGACATTTATTACAACTGACGAACTTAGATTGACAAACTGTCATTACTCAAAGTCAGTTTGCTTTATGGTTCACTCATGGTGTGGTACCTTCTGTGGAGACCTTGTCTTTTGTGAATTTTACACTTTGAAATAATTGTAGATTGACAGGAATTTGCAAAGAAATGTACAGGGAGATAATGTTCATCCTTTACCTAGTCTCTTCTAATGTTAGTATTTTATACAACTATAATACACCATTAAAAATGAAGCTGACACTGGCATGACTAGAATTTATTCACATGTCATCAGTTATACATGCATGTTTGTGTGTATGTTTATATAGTGCTATACATATTTATTACATGTTTAGCCTTATATTACCACTCCTTTAATCAAGATAGTCAACTGTACTATCCATTGTCACAAGACTTTCTCAGGTGACCTTTTTATAGTCAATTCTATCCACTCCTATCTCTAACCCTGGCAACCACTAGTCCATTTTCCATCTCTATAATTACTTTATTTCATGACTGTTATATAAAATAATGTAGAAGATATCCTTTGAAGATTGGCTTTTTTTTTTTTTTTAACTCAGCATAATTTCCTTGAGGTTCTTCTAGGTTATTTATAGTAGTTTTTTATTTTTATTTTTATGTTTTTATTTCTAGGAGAAAGAGACAGTGTGAGCAGGGGAGGGTCAGAGAGAGAGGGAGACACAGACTGAAACAGGCTCCAGGCTCTGAGCTGGCAGTCAGCACAGAGCCCGGCGCGGGGCTNTGCATTTGGGTAGGCATTAAGTGTAAAAATGTGGAGGCTTAGAAATAATTCCTCAGATGTATGTGAGCTATTTAAATTGAATTCATGTGATGTAAAATCACTAGGAAGCCTTTATATGTTGTGTTTCATGGGAAAAGGGATATGCTCAAAGTTATTTAAAAACTCTAGAGATATTTCTTAATTTTTTTTAATGTTTTATTTATTTCTAGGAGAGAGAGAGAGAGAGAGAAACAGTGTGAGCAGGGGAGGGTCAGAGAGAGAGGGAGTCACAGACTGAAACAGGCTCCAGGCTCTGAGCTGGCAGTCAGCACAGAGCCCGGCGCGGGGCTTGAACCCACGAACCGCGAGATCCTGACCTAAGCGAAAGTCGGATGCTCAACCGACTAAGCCACCCAGGCGCCCCAAAGTTTTTTATTCTTTTTAATACTGAGTTGTATTCTATAGTGTATATGTATCACAGGGACCTTTTCAAAAAATTTTGTTTATCTGTTGAGGGAGAGGGAGAGGGAGAGTGTGAGCGTGAGCGTGAGCAGGGAAGGTGCAGATACAAGGAGAAGAATCCCAAGCAGGCTTCGTGCTGTCAACGCAGAACCCAACACTGGGCTCGAACCCATGAGCCATGAGATCATGACCTAAGATGAAACCAAGAGTCAGATGCTTAACTGACTGAACTACCTAGGTGCCCCCTCTTTATTTTTTATCTCTATTTCCTGCACGGCACCTGGCACATGGTTGGAGTCCAACATGAGGTATGTGAAAGGATAATTTACTCTGCAGATAACTTGCTGTGTCAAATACTTTGCATGAATAGGGAAACCTGAGGTTGGCTATTTCTATAGCATTTAGAAGAGCCAAATCTTCTGACCTACTGGTTCAAATTCACCACCATGAGTCCCTCTTGATCAGTCATTTTATTTGACTGATGAAATGGATTAAATAAGACTGACAAAGAAACTGTATTTGCATGTGGTAGAATTGGGCCAGATTTGAAGTTGGTGCTATGTGTGAATTAAGTCTTGAGTGTCTTGATAACCTCATGTGATTTTTACCCTCACGTGAAGGTCAACTAAAACTTGAAATCTCAGGAAATGAAATTGCACTGATGGGGAGCTTAAGTGTAAAAATCTGATGAATGTCAAAACTTTTCCCTCCTAACTTATACTTCCAATAATAATTTGTTCCATTTCTATTGTGCTTGAAAATTATAAAAGATAGTTTTCCATCATCTTATTTATTCCTGAATTAATACTGTGAGGTGTGTGGGGAGCACACAGTGGTGATGATGCTGAGTATTATTGTCATTGCACTTGACAAATGAGACTACAAAACTATATAAGTGTCAGGTGAGTTGCCTGAGACTGAAAAATCATTTAATGAATGAACCTGGCTAGGACTCTGATATTCATTCAACATTCATTGTATCAGACTGCTGTTTCTCATCGATAAGCAAACACTTTTTTTTTTTTTTAGAAAACATCAAATCTTTGCTTTTTAAAAAAATTTGTACCTGCAGACTATTTTCATCATTTGGCTCTCAAAATCTCAATGTCAAAGCATCCCATGTATGTATTCCTACAGCATTCACTCACTGAAAGTCATGTTTGTAAAACAAAACAAAACAAAACAAAAACAAAACAAAACACAAGCTCTCTCTTAATTGTTTTTCCTCAAACAAATTTTAGAGGTACTTAGAATAAACTACTGTATGTTATTATAGATGATTGCAGTAATTTATTTTACCTGGGAGCAAGATCCTAGCTATTGAGTAAATTTTCTAGAAATCTCCAGATGGCTTAATTATACTATTTTAAAAACCAAGCATATAAAAATAAAATGGATAAATAAGCACAATTTGGAAACATACAGAGATGGAAAATAAAAGTTAAAGCAAAGCTTGAGTCTTTAAAAACGAAATCTTTTCATTCATGATGAAAACTCCACAAACTAGGAATAGAGGGGCACTTCCTCAACTTGATGAAGAATATTTGTAAAAAGTCCACAGTTAACATCATACTTAATGGTTAGAAACTGGATACTTTCCCCTAAGATCAGAAACAAGGCAAGAATTTTCTCTTATCACTTCTATCTAATATCATACTGAAAGTCTTAATTATTGCAATGAGACAAAAAAATAAAAGTTATACAGTTTGGGAAAGAATAAAGTTGTGTTTGTTCACAGATAATATGATTGTCTATGAAGAAAATACTAAGGAATTGACAAAAGGTCTCCTCTAACAAGTGATTATAGCAAGGTTTCAAGATACAAAATTAACATATAAAAGTCAATTGTTTTCTTCTATACCAGCAGTAAATAGAATTTGAAATAAAAAAAAATAGTACTATTTAAAATTGTACCCCCTCAAAGAAATACTTAAGTAGAAATCTAACAAACTATGTACAGGATCTATATATAGAAAACTACAAAACTCTGATGAAATAAATTTTAAAAAGCCAAATAGATATTCCATATTCATGAATTAGAAGACTCAATATTGTTAAGATGTCAGTTCTTCCCAAAATGATCTATAGATTTAACAGCATTCAAATTAAAATCCCAGAAAGATACTTTATAGATATTGATAAAATGATTCAGAAGTTTATCTGGGAAGGCAAAAAGCCTAGAATCATTAGCACAATACTGAAGAAGAAAAGGATTTATATTACCTGACTTTAAGACTGACTGTAAAGTTAATCAAGATAGTGTGGTATTGGTGAAATAATATATTCATAGATTAGAACACAGAACAGATACATAGAATAGATACATAGAACAGAATTGGAGCTAGAAATGGCCTAAGCAAATACAGCCAACTGATCTTTGACAAAGGAGAAAAGAATATGCAATGGAGAAAAGGTAGTCTTAACAACAAATGGTGTTGGACTAATTGGACATCCATATGCAAGCAAACCTGGACACAGATTTTATATCTTTCACAAAAATTAAACTCAAAATGGATCATAGACCTAATGCAAAGACAAAATTGTAAAACTACTGGAAGAATACTTAGGAGCAAATCTAGGTGACCTTGGGTTTGGTGTTGAGTTTTTAGCTACAATAGTCAAAGCACAATTCATGAAAGAAAAATTGATATGTTGGTCTTTATTCTTTTGAAGTTTATTTTAGACAGAGACAGAGGGAGAGAGGGAGGGAAGAAGGAAGGGGAAGACAGAGGGAGACAGAGAATTCTGAGCAGGTTCCATGCTGTCAGTGCAGAGCCTGATGCAGGGCTTGAACTCATGAACCATGAGATCATGACCTGAGCTGATATAAAGATTTGGACACTTAACTGACTGAGCCACCCAGGCACCCCATATATGTTGGTTTTTATTTAAAAATGTGAACTTTGGCTCTGTGAGTTGGAGATTATTTTTTGTTGTAATAGCAAATATTTAATCCATCTGAATTTTAGAATGTATATAAACAAAAAGGAAACTTTTCAAGGTTTTGAGACTTAGCAATAGAAGTTACATCTTGTACCCATTTCATTGGGTTGTAGTAAGTGGTGATACATAAAGTCCATAGGAGTGTAGTACTTTCATTCCTGTGCAAGAGAAATCAACTTGTATTTATAGAGCACCTGTTCTATGTCAGGCATTGTACTAGACACTTAAATATATAAATGCAAGAGGAAGTATCTCCCACTCTTAGCCATGAGGTTCATACATCCTCACATTACTCACTGATTGCATCCCTGACTCCATACAGAAGTAATAGAAGAAGAATGTTCTATGGGACACACAAACCAAGAATTTGACAAAGAATAGAGAAAAATTTTAATTTCAAAGTTCCTTCTTATGAAGTGAAGTGGTGGATATAGGTGTAAATGTGCTATAGTGGGTCTCTTATTTTTTTTTTTTTAACTGTTCCAGAAGGCCTTAGTGTGATGTGGACTCACAGGGAGTGGAAATACAGGAAGGAACATGCAGCAGGAGAATGGACAACTTAGGGTCATGTTTAAAAGAAGCTCTTTTTCACAAAGGGGAAAGTTTCTCCTGAGGGTAAGGAGCCTAGAGTTGAGTTACAGAGATATTACTTTATTTATTAAGAACTCTGCCAGGTAGGTGGTATTTTTGCCATTTTATAGATAGTGAAGGGAGCCTCAGACAAGTTAAGTAACTTTTTTCAAGATCACACAACTAATAGCAATAGGAGAGGCAGAGTCGAACACTTGTTTGACTCCAAGGCCAATAGTTTTCTTCTCTTCTAGTGGTAGCATAGATTAAGTAGGTAGTTTAGTAGGTAGATTCCAGTGTCAAGTTACTTTGGCTCATTTTCTGGGATTTTTATTAGTTATTTAATCTTGAGCAATTTATTCAACATACCTATGCTTCTATGTCCCCATCTGAAAAATAGTGAAAATCTTATGATTGTATCATACTGCTGTGAGAATTAAGATAATTACAAGCTTTTAATATATTACATGGTACATAACAAAGGATCAATACATGTCAGCTAGAATTACTCCAACATGACCTTGCTTCTTTGAAAACAGCAAAGACTATTTCAAGATGGTAGATGGATTCACAGACATAACAAAAATACCTGACCAACAACTTGAATCTTCGGTCGTAAATAAATGACTGACTAATGGTATTTTAGGAGGCTTATGTGGAAGGAGTTTCACCACAGTTTGTTAGTTTAAACCAGAAACAGCCCATCTAAACTGCTCCTCTAATCTATATGTTTTTTCCAATATATTTCTTGGCTAAAATGTAATTTATTCCTAACTGTCTCTTCTGATGAGACATTCAGTACCTAAATTCAATGTTTGAGTTGGGGCCATAATATATTCAAGGTTAACTATGTTAGCTATACAAGGAGATTACAATCTTGTCAAGAGTACTCTTTAAAAAATATTTTAACATAAAAAGTGAGAAGTGCTCTAAGGATGTGTAGATTCAATACTGTAGGTGTATGGGGGTAGAAGAGTTTGCTTCTGGCAGGGAGATGTGGAAAAGCTTTAGAGAAAAGGTAGTGTTTGATTGGTGCCTTGACCCAAGAGTAGATTTAGACACTGAGAGATAATAGTGAAGGCGATCTAGAGGGGAATAAAAGCAGGGAAAATATAAAGGAAGGATGACAGAGTTCAGTAAGTTAGAAGTGTATGTGAAAGAGATTAGAAGGAAACAAAGTTTGGTTGAAATTGAGTTGTGAGAATCAAAAGCAGTCTAGAGAATTTGAATTTTTTGTTCAGGGTAAAGGGTCCAGTTGAATATGTTTAAGAATAATAGACTGTGACCTGCCCTTTGGGAAATAACTCTGGTGGCCAATTATAGCCGGGGCTGCAAGAGAGAGAGAGGAGGTGAGGAGGTGAATTAGTATTGTGGAAATCCACAAGGAGGTCTGAAATAAGGTGCTGATTGTGAAAAGGACATAATTGCAGTAAATTGTGGGAGTAGACCTGGCAGCATTGAGCCATATTTGGATGAGTTTGCAGGGACTGAGAGAAGTCTGATAAATTTCAAGGCTATGTGGCTAAGAGAATGCTGGGAACCCTTGATGGAAACAGAAACAGTAGCAGAAGTAGAATTGACAGAAATACTGAAGTCACTGGGGGACATAATAAGGATGAAGTTCACCTTGTAGCACCTCTAAGTAGAATGTCCAGTAAGCTGTTGGAAAGGGGGTATGGAAGATAGTTTATCAGAAATGAAAAATAAACACCATATTCAAGGGTCATTATGATCCTTGAATTTCTTCTTTCATCCTTGTGACTGACTAGCACCCCCAGCTTCCCTCCATAAGTTTGTTAGTGGTTTCCTCATAAACACCTCTCCCTGTGTGACCTTCATTTTCCATATGCTAGATCATTTACATTTACCAACCCACATAATATTAAAATCAGAGAGTGTGAGACTTTGGAAGTTTTCTTATTCCATAATTTCACTCTGAAGATGAGACTGAAAATCAATGTAATTAAGTAGTCTCTGAAGGTTATTAGGCATTGATGAGGGACCTGTTCACCCCTTCCACTCCCACCCATGGAGTTCTGCTGCTTTACGCGATAGCCCTCTCCAAATCTGCCCTGTATCATAAGGTACCTCTGCCCACCCCTGCATCACAAGGAACTCCTGACCTCAGGAAAAGAAACAGCAATGCTCAGAAGAGATCCCGCTGTTAGAGAAAGATGATTCTTGAAAGGAGGCCCCAGCTGGTTTGCTCAACTTACTAGGCTAGCTGTGCATATTCTACATGAAGGTGAACAGAACACTGGAAGCTTCAAGGTAGCAAGAGGCTGAGGAGTGCCCTTTTTCTTTGATTATAAGTTTTTTAAAGTCCCCAACACATAATATTCTCACAATTAGGACCCGGGTCCCTCAGTTTGCATTTATGAATGGTATTTCTGGAAAACATAATTCATTGAAATCAAAGGCATGTTTGGTGTGGGAAGTAATTTGCAGTGAATCCCTGAGTTGGGTTCAGAAAATTGAGAAAAAATAAGATCCTTATAGTCATACCTGACTCACGGATTCCAACCTCATCAAATACTCAATTATATCTAATTTTGGATGTAAAGTCCAAAATTAGCTTGGTAAAAAAAATGATATAACATACACTCTATGAAATGTGCAGGTGGAATATCCTTTTTATATTTCATTAATAATGATGCCAACAAAATTGTGAAACTCTAGCAGTAACAATTATTTGTGGTGCTAAGACTATGAATTAGGTAATGAATAATAATTGAAGTATTGAATTTTTATAGTTATTATTTATCATTCAGTCATCTTTACAATCATTATAAGCTGAATGAAAATTTTATGCCAAAATGTAAACATTTAAGTGTGGTCATATAGACTCTGGATGAATGACTGGTGTGTGAAAGAGACAAAGAATGTGTATCTGGATGTAAAGTTTTCCCAGCTCTCTGACTTGACCTCCCAGTCTGGATGAAGAAGGACTTTGACATGGAAGATTGGGAAGAGCTGTCATGAGTGATGAGAAACTGGTGTGGAGAATATTGTGAGTTGCCAAATCATAGCAGTATTAATTTATGGAAATCTGTGAAGTAGAGCCCCTCCAAGCTATTCCATTATAGCTACATCTAAAGCTGTCTTTTGCCTTTCCCTCTGCA